TGGTAGTGTGATGTGAATTAGACCTGATCTAGGCGCGTACCCCAGCAACCGTATAGAATATAAAATACAGACTAATATATATATATTTATGTATATATATATATTTATGTATATATGTGTGTATCTAATTATATAAAAATATATACAGAGAGAGATGGTCATATGGCTAACATGTATAGATGACCCGACATTGGGTTGGAGCAGTAAAAAAAAGCATAAAAACCAAGCAAAAGGATTGAGTTCTTTTCTTTCTTTTTTCCACAGATCAGAACACACTGAAGAGCTCGGATCTCAAACAGTATAAGTAAGACTCTCTTTAGACCAGACTTAAAAAAGTCTAACAAGGGGCCTCTCTCTCTCTCTCTCTCTCTCTCTCTCTCTCACACACACACACACACACACACACAAGAAAGAGTGCAAATGGAGGAATATGTTGACAACATCAATCACATGATCCAAATGGGCTCAAATTTTGGTCCAAAGGGAATTTACTGCTGCAAAAGAAAGACCATGGAAAGGTGAATTCCAAAGAGAGGAATTTGAGGTAAAAGGGTTAGAGATTTGTGTCCTAAAGTCTCTTTAGGAATTGGTTTAAAGCAAATGTCTAAATAAATGCCACAAACAAGTATCCTAAGTTCACACTACTACACATTGAATCTTAATTGTGGTCAAGTTCAAATCTTTACTTTTTTACAGCTGAATTCATCAATCATGATCACAGTAGCAATTTTTGGCCAGTCCTGACCATCAAAAGAAAAAATGGATCTTAGGAAAATACCCATTAAAAATATCACACAATTATTAGGTAAAATTTGGGTTTTTCTCATTCTATATAAATTATGTTAAATCCCGCTAATCAATATAAACTTTAAGAAAGTCATTATCCATTATTGATCACGTCACGCTTTAGAATGAGAAACACATGCTATTTGATAACTTAATTCTAATGTTTAATTCTGAATGAATTAAACGCTTATTTAATTAATTGTGTTTGATAAGTCAATTTGAATATCACTGAAAACGGTAAACGTCACTTAAAATGGAATAAAATTTTAAATGAGAGAGACATCACTTGTTACAGAATGTTGTTACAGAATGTTGAAAATATATCAAATTATATAGATTTTTTTTTAATTATCACCTAAAAACTTTAGTATTTAAAATTCAGTTCTTAAAAATTTCAGTATTTAATTTTCAATTTTATCGAACAAGACGTAATCAGAATCAAAATGAAAATTCACGTTTGTTAACATTGATTTTACTATTACACCGATTAATTACAACGAATTAATTTATAAAATTGACACATTTATTTACATGTCGTGTCGGTCATGTAAAAATTTTAGAGGGGGAGAATAATTTCAAAACTATTTGAGTGATATAAATCCTTACTTAATCAGTCATAAGTGTCCTAATCAAAGGGTTATTGCTGAATATTAGGGAAAAGCTGTACTTTAGATTTTGCAAACCCCACTGCAGACGCGCCCAAAAGTGGAAAAAAAGCAAAAGGACATGTCTCTTTTATGCTCTTTCGCCTCCAACACTATTTTACATATGGTTCAAAGAGTGCAAATTTTTCCCATTTTTCATCATTAAATCAAAGCTTTTATGGTCCACAGACATGACATCTAATGGTACATCACAAGGTTTACAAGTTAGTTTTCACTTGGGACTTGACATTTCTTCAATAAAATAATAATAAAAAAAAGCTTAGAAAGAAAATTATTTACTCAACCAAATTTTTAAGGAACACGTCTAAAGTCTCATCCTAAACTTTCTAAACGCGAGTCAAAAAGTTCAACATTTTCACGAGAAGAAGAGAATTTATACCATCTAACCTAGAGTTCATTAGTTATCCTTTTTAAATTTCATGTAGCATTTGTTGTATTGTGAATTAAATTATATTTGATGCCGTACTCAATAATGTTTTTATTTTTTTATTTTTTTTATGAGCATTTACCCCATCTATGATGAAAAAGGAGTAATTACTAGTCATTCAGAACATGAATCAACAGTAGTGGCTTGGATACTGTTAGATGTAATTTACAAATGTAGCAATGACTTCTTAAGTCGATTAAATCATAAATATTCAATTAGTGGAACTCACTCATTAATTTTACTAATAACCACAAATAAGAAATTACAAAGGATAAACTTGCCATGGCTTTTCATTGTGTGAATGTACAAATTTTTAAAACTCAATTGTTCGGTTTAGTGGGTATTATCCAACGACCTAGTTAGTCGAGTGTTTATCTCTCCAAACGAGTGTGCTCGTGTTCGAGTCCTCACTCCTCCCTAGTTTGCGAGGATTGAAAAAAAAATAAAAATAAAAAATATCTAGTTCAGAAAGAAAAATATAAATATATCAAAGGACCCCCAACAATGAACTTTTTTTTTTTTCTCCTTTTCCATCTTATGAAATTAAAATTAAACTAATTTAATAGTTATATAAATATTGATAACTAATAAAATGATATATTGTGAGGGCATAAAAATAAGGATGATAATTTGAAGTTTGAAAGTCAAAAAAGTCTGATTGATTCATGTAAGTGAGGGCTGACATGATGATGTATATGATATCATGATGCCATTAATATTTATTTACATAAAATTAGTTTGATATGTCTGATCATTTTTTTATTATTATTTTAAATAAATAAAAAATAATTTGTAACAAAAATACCAAAAGAGTGAGAGTGTGCACGGAGTATGATATTGACACCTTTAAACTAATTCTGCCACTTATCCAAAAACCCTAAAAGAAGTGTCATAATTGAAATTTGTGGTTGAAACGGCTTTTTCATGTCCTAATTGGTATTTTAGAGCACCACCCAAAGAAAAAGACAAACTCCGTCAATTGGTCACTTTTCAGTTTCCACTAACGTTTGGTAAGTGATTTATTATTCTTTTTTATTTGGCAAGTAGACCAAATCAATTTATTAGAAAGAAGATGGTATATAATATTAAGTTTTTATGTAAAACCATATTAAAAGTATGGTATAAAAATTTGAATACAACAAAAATACGTATATAAGTCTATTACTGTATGACATATACGGTAGCATCTACATATTATTACTCAAAATATTAAAATAGATGGGAAAATGCGTACAACAAGTTTGATATATTACAATGATTATAAATTTGATTTTTGTTATTTTTTCAATTTAAATATTATCTTATCAATATATAATTTTGATAAGTATGTTCAATTATTTTTCTACATCAATTTAGTATAGCATTTTGCGACAGTGACTTCTTGTGATATTTGTAGTTGATGATTGTTTAAGAACTAATTATTTATTCATATTAAGTGAATTGCCACAAGAAACTTTTTTTTAAAAATTAATAATGAAATAAAACAGTTATTACAATAGTTTCAAATTTTATATTGCGTGTATATTATGCATCTATAGTACTAATTTTATTTTAATTATATTTTTAAAATTTAATTTTATGGATGAATCATATCTTTATTGAGTAGTGATTTAGGATACCGAATCCGATTCTTAAATTATTATTCATCTATGAAACATATCATTTTATTCTTTTTCTTTCATTTCACTAAAGCCAAATTTTTATTTTTAAATAGCATTTATAAAGTAATTTCAATGAAAATTAAAAAGCAAACTATGGCTATTTAAGGAGAGTCAATGTTCTCTCTAGATGTTTCATAAAGTACGATAACAAAAAATTTAATGCGGAATTCTTACCAAATGAATTAAAAAAACACATGCTATAAGAATAAATTACATTTCATTAAAAAAATTGAGACAATACACAAACATTAATCACCATAAAAATGTACCACAACTGCTTAATTACTCCAACATAACAAGAATTAATTAATTAATTAACTAATTAGTTGAAAGTTGCAGAAATTATGGTAATACTTATAAAATGCACTAGTACCCGAAAGGAGGCCTATTTTAGTAGTATAATTAAGAGGTTTCTTTTTTTTTTTTTTTTTTTTTTTTTTTTTTTGGGTCAATAGTATAATTAAGAGTTTGTACTTCTTTATGATTCAATGAACATTTTATTCTTTTACCAAAAAAAATTCAAATCGTTCTATTCAACATGAAATATTAAAACATAATTAAATTGCTTAATGAAATTATGTTACTTCTAGTTGAAATAGAATAATTTATTTTCTCATGAAGCTTGTGTATATTTCTTCATGCACATTTACATTTTCATCTTGAAGTGATAATAAACATAGTCTAGGAAGCGTGGATATGGATACATGATATGAGTACGGTACAAACAAATTACACAAAAAAAGAGACATGAATACAGTGCATATATATATATATATATATATATATATATATATATAAATTATTGTTATATATAAAAAAATTATTTTTGTTCATTTTATCCATATAATTATATGATTGATATCACTAATTTGGAGTTTTATAATAAAATGTTTGTTACTTTTATTTACTCAAATTTTATATTATTTTTTTAGTTAATTTATAATATATTTTAAATTATATTGAATCATATTATTCTCAAAGAAATAATTACAAAACCAACTCACTGTTTTTTGTGAGCATTCAGAATAAATCATTTCTGAATCCACATAATGTCTTCCACGTGTCCGATATCGCCACGGTACTCGTCAAAGTGGTCCGTGCTTCACCGTATGTAATTAAGTTGATTTTATTTAGTAAAATATTTGGCAAATAAATTACTTCAAAAAAATTTCCCTATGAGTTATCTCAATTGAAATACATTATAACCGTGTCTCACACACGTGTCTGTCACGCGGTACCGTGTTTTACCGTACATAATTAAGTTGATTTATTTTGATAAAAAAAATATTATTTTTTTTTTCGATATAATATTATTTACCATATAAATTATTTCAAAATTTTTTTTTCTTATAAATTAATTGAATTGAAAAATACACAAAATTTAGTATTCCACGCGTACATCATCCACTGTGCATAAGACATATGTATGTGTCCAGAGAATCACTCTCTCTCTCAATCTTGTAAATGTTCTCCTCCTCCTCCATGTCTATATTATGCAACCTCATTTTCCTCATTGGTCTCCCTCTCTCCTATCTCTCTCTCTCTCTCTCTCTCTCCACATTTACCCTAAAACCCACAAAAGAGGACACTCATTTCTCCTACATAAGCCGCTCTCTTGCAAAGAGCAGTCTGATACAGCGATAGAGAGAGTACTTCTTCATCTGTTTTTTTTATATTTTTATATTTTTGTCTTATTTCCTTTCGATTTAATCGTTCCCATTTGATGAAATGTGTTATTAAAGCACGTACAGATATAGAAGCATAGGATTTATATATATATATATATATAGAGAGAGAGAGAGAGAGAGAGAGTGAGTTATATATATATATAGTGTGAGAAAGTTTTAACGGATTGCAATGGTACCCAGTTTTGATTGTGGAGTATCAAGCCTTCTCTGTGGAGAAGACAACGACAGCATCTTTTGTGATGATGATGTTGATTATGGGGCAGTGGAGGGTTTTGACCCGACTTGTCATCATAGAAATCATCAAACCAATAATCAAAACCAGAGCTTTTTTAGGGAAGAAGAGTCCTTGATTGGGTTGCCAATGCAGAGTGATGAGAGCTTGAGCCTGTTGTTCAAAAGGGAACGTGAACAATTCCATGGTAGTGATTACTTGAACCGGTTGAGGAATGGGGAATTGGATTTGGGGGCCAGAAATGAGGCTGTGGATTGGATTGGAAAGGTTGGTTCATGGGTCATATCTAATGGGTTTTATTATTATTTTTTTTTCTTGAATTTTCTGAATTTGGTATTGTGTTTATGTGTTTCTTTATATGCTTGATGATTTTAATGAATTGGGGTTTTGGGTTTTTGGAAATGGATTTGGATTTGGATTCTCATTGAGCTTTTAATTCATGGGTCATATTTTAATGGTTATTCATTAACTCTTTATTTTATCATGAATTTGGTATTGTGTTTATGTGTTTGTTTATATGTTTGATGATTTAAATGATTGGGGTTTTGTGTTTTCTGTGTTCTTGTTTCTGGAACTGGTATTGATGTTAACATTAACTCCCAGGTGTTTGATGAAGTGGGTTGGGGTTTATTTTTATTAGGGATTCCTTGTTTTAATACATTTCACACATAACCTGAAATGGGGTTGGATGGAATCTCTTCACTTTTGCTTGTGGTTTGACTGAAACTGACCTGTTAATAATAGTATATATCTGTTTTTTCTTCTTTATCCCCCATTCTTAGCTGTCTGGAATTGGATTTGCATTTCCCTTGTTTTTATTCTCTTTTGTGATGAAAACTCATTGTGATATTGACTACAATGTTGTCATCTTTTGGATTTTCTTGTGGAAAAATTTACTTTTTTTTCTTGGTTAATGATCAGTGTCTGTGTTCTTGTTGCTCTAACAGGCTCATGCCCATTTCGGTTTCGGACCTCTGTGTGCATATTTATCTACAAACTACTTGGATAGATTCCTCTCCACCTATGAATTACCTGTGAGTTCAGTCAGGATCAAATTGTGAATGTTATTTAGTTTCTATATCCATTTCATTCATCAAATCATATTACATGATTGTGTCTCATCTTGTTATGTGCCGTCTGTAGAAGGGCAAAGCTTGGATGATGCAGCTGTTGGCTGTGGCATGTTTATCTCTTGCAGCCAAAATGGAGGAGACTGATGTCCCTTTGTGTCTGGATTTACAGGTTAATAGATGTGTGAATTAGTATTTATGTGCATTGTCTGTCCATTGAATGCTTTTTCTAGTTATTCTGATGATCATAAGTGATAATAACAGGTGGGTGAATCGAAATTTCTATTCGAAGCTAGAACCATTCAGAGAATGGAGCTTCTGGTGTTGAGCACATTGAAGTGGAGAATGCAAGCAGTCACTCCATTCTCCTTCATAGACTATTTCTTTAGAAAGATGAATGGTGGTGATCAAAACCCTCCAAAATCTTCAATCCATAAGTCCATCCAACTCATATTAAGCACAATAAAAGGTCAATCTCTCTATCTATCTATCTCTGTGTGTGTGTGTGTTTGTGTTTGTATGTATATAATGTACATTTGTTTGCATTTAAATGTGTACCTTCTACCATTTTAAGTACTTGGACAACGCTATTCAGACCTAGTAGACTAACCAAGAATCCTAAAGTTTTGATCTTATCCGATGCATCCAAGCTTTTTCAGTTAGACTATTCGGTCTAACAATAAGTACTTTTGGGACTCTGTAGTAGTGGTAAGAATGATGAAAGTGAAATTTGAAAGAGGGACTAATACTATGGTGGGTGGAAATTAAATGCAGGGATTGACTTTTTGGAATTCAAGCCTTCTGAGATTGCAGCAGGAGTGGCAATGTCTGTTGCAGGAGAAAACCAAACAGTGGAAACTGATAAAGCAATCTCTGTTCTCATTCAACATGTAGAAAAGGTGAAGTTTAGTGGTCCAAAAATGATGGTTTTCACTTTCTCTCATCATTTAGGGTTTGATTAGCTAAAAAAAATATTATCAGTTGATTAAAATGGTTTTTTTTTTTTTTTTTTGCAGGAGAGAATGCTAAAGTGTGTGGAACTGATCCATGAGTCATCATCATTGATAAGTGGGGCTGTTAAGGGTGCAAATGCAACATCAGTCCCATCTGTGCCCCAAAGTCCAATTGGTGTGCTGGATGCTGCATGCTTGAGCTACAAAACTGATGACACTGCAGTTGGGTCATGTGCAAATTCTTCTCATAATAGCCCAAATGCTAAGAGGAGGAAGCCAAACAGACCCTATGAACTGGAGCTTTAGAGGTGGGATTTTCACTTCTCACCCAATTCACAACATTGATGATATTTGGTAGGAATGGGAATTTTGGTGTGGTCAAGAAGGTGCCTCCCAACAAAGGAATGATGAATACAGAGAGACACAGAAAAAAGGATTTGAGGAAAAAAAAAAAAAAAATTATAATGTTGTTGTAAGAAGATGTTGATAAGTGAATGGGTGGGAGGTTGGAATCAAGATGTTTCATGCTCTTGGAATGAAGCAAGCAGTCACCAGCTGTTAAATATTAGACTTCTTCTTGGTAGCTATGGACAAGAAATAGTCAGAAAGGAAAAAGAAAATATGTTTTGTTTGGGGAATACAGTTATATTGTAGGGTTGTGAGAAGTTGTTATACCTTTGTTCAATTTTATGTTTTTTAAAAATTTTTTTATTTGAATACATTTATAATGTTTTGTTTAAAATTTTAGTGAAATTACAGTCCCTTTAGCAGAACAAAAGGAGAGGACACAAAAAGAAAAATAATTATAAAAAAAAGGAAAGAAAAGATTTTTGTCTTTCATATACCTAAATCACTAAGGAATTGTTCCCCCATATTAATAATAATAATAAAAAAAATTATCAGACTATATTTATCAATTGCTATGAATGGTGCCTGGCTCTTTCTTTGACCATGTGTCTGCTTGGACCTGCCATACTTTGGGAAATGGGTTTGCAATATACAAAGTTACAAACCCTTGCCGAACTCTGGTTTGTGGTGGTCTTTTATGTCTTTTATCATCACTTTTGTAAGAGACTTAAAAGAATGAAAAACAACCATTTCTCATTTCCTCATTTTACAGGTGCATCATGGGACATAAATTGATTTATCAACCAAAGTATATTTTTCTTAATTTTATCAATTATATGTGTCATAACTAATGTTTTTTTTCACGCATTTGTTATTTATCTTCTTTCTTCCATTTCTATCATTTAACGCCCAACACTCTACTCCATACGAAATTGTCGACCTAATAAACATTTTATAAAATTTTCCTTTTGATTTATTTAATATTCACTTGTCACAAAAGATACCACTAGCTTGTCACCACATTGTCCACCCAAATCCAATTCAGCTTACTTCAACATCACCTATCACCCCATCTTTCTGTATTATTGATCCAAATCAATGGAAATAATTTTTTGAAGTAATTATCAAATTTACATGTCATATATTTCGTTTTAGTTTTACTCTAATTTTTTTTTTTTTTTATGTTTGTAATTTTGTTGCTATTAGTAGTAATATGTCATCTACAATCTATTAGCAAAGTTAGTTTTTAGTTCATTGTAATACAAACTGGTAAGTTAAGCCATTCAATTTTCACCCAAATAGAACCAATTTTCTGACTTCTCTGAGCAATAATGTGCAAATTAAAAATTAAACAACTAAGCATGGTCACTCTGTTTTTTTTTTATTTTTTTACTGCCTGATATAACAATTAGTGGAGCATCCAAATACAGTAAATGCAAATACTAGACAGGGAAATAGATGAAACAGAAGACGGATGTCTTGAAACTATAAAACACCCACGCCTATAACTCTGTCTCAGAATGGTCAGTTTCAATCAGTAAGTTACTATTGTTTCAGAAAATCTCTCCCCCCTCTCTCTCTCTCTCTCTCTCTCTCATCATCATCATATAAATACTATGTTTAATCTAGCTCAATCTGAAGCCATATTAATACAAAATCAGATTGACAGGTTAAAAATTGAAGGATTAATGTATGCAATGAGTTAGCCCTGCACATGCTGCTTGACTGGTAAAACCCTAGTCACACAATTTTTAGTAACGGGTGTCGTTCTTATACTTTGAATGCACTCTTGCTCTCATTTCTATTTACTGTAATTTAAATTTTGTCATTTTTACGCTTTCGCTTCCTTTTTATGTGACTTGGGTAAAACATTTGGTATATCATATTTCCCTTAGGTCTTTGGTTTGAGTTTCATCGAAGTGGTACTTTCCTTAGGTCTATGGTGTTAGAGTTGTTCTGCACAATCAACCGGATTTGATACTAGTTGTTGTGGTAGAAACGCAAAATAAATAAGCAATCACGAAGAATAAAAAAAAAAAAAATCACACTGGTTCACCCAAATCTTAGAGTTACGTCCATGGAGCACACCGAACAAATTCACTATGAAGAAGATGAAGAATTACAATAGAGAATTTTCTCTCAATCTCTCTCAATTGCTCTCTCTTGTATTGGCACAAATTTATCTCTAACTCTCACACCCTCTAAAATCTTATTAGAGTTGATATTTATAGAGTCCCAAACTTGTCATACAAAAACTTGTCTTTTGTAAAATCCAAAATCAACAAGGAAGTTAAAACAGATTAGGAAACTGAAATTTTCCTAAACCAATAAGGAAGTTAAAACAGATTAGGAAATTGAATTTTCCCTAAAATTCATTACTCTTGAAGTTTCCATATAATAAAATCTTTATAAAAAACAATTACCTAATCAGACTCCACAAAACCACAACAATCTACCACTTGGAGGCTGGAGCACTTGTAAACCCATTCAATTTTCTTCTCATGCAGCCCCATACATGTCGGTGCGCTTCTTTCTGTCTTCAAGCTAAAAGACCGACTGAAGTTGCGCACAACTTCAGTTTCTCTATGGTCACTGTCTTGGTCAACATATCAGCCAGATTCTTGGTGCCAAGTATTTTCTCAAGTGTCAACATCCCATCTTCTAACAAAGATCCGATAAAGTAATACCGAAGTCCTATATGCTTGGTCCTTGAATGAAATGCTGAATTCTTTACTAGATGTATCGCACTCTGACTATCACTGTTCAAAACATTATTCACCTGTTCGAATCCCAACTCTGTCAACAAACCTTGTAACCAAATCATCTCCTTGCTGGCCTCTGTCATTGCCACATACTCTGTCTCTGTAGTAGATCCTCTGTATTTGCGAAACCTAACGAACTGTAGTTGTACCCACCATTAACACATACCAGGTAGTACTTCTTCTGTGGTCCACCTCACCAGTAAAGTCTGAATCTACATAACCATGTAGCTTCACTTCGCCCCTTCTGAAAAATAAACATCTGTCTGTGGTACCCCGTAGATATCTCAATATCCACTTTACTGCTTCCCAGAGTAGCTTGCCCGAATCCTTCATGAACCTGCTGACTGCTCCCACTGCATATATAATATCCGGTCTTGTGCACATCATAGTATACATCAAACTTCCAATGGCTGAGGCATATGGAATTTTAGCGATGAAGTTTTTCTCATCCTCTGTCTTTGGACATTGATCTTGAGATAATCGGAAGTGATTAGCTAAAGGAGTACCTACCGCCTTAGCATTATTCATGTTAAACCACTTCAGAACCCGTTTAACGTACTCAGCCTGAGACAACTGCAAAGTACATTTCTGCTTATCTCTGCTAATCCTCATCCCAAGAATCTGCTTCGCTACACCAAGATCCTTCATCTTGAATTCACTAGACAATTGCTTCTTCAATTTGCTGATTTCTTCAAAATCAGAACCTATCATTAATATATCATCAACATAAAGTAGAAGGATAATGAAACTTGACTTAAACCTCTTGAAGTAGCAGCAATGGTCAGTGTTGCACTTGTTGTAGCCATGTTGCTTCATAAAACCATCAAACTTCTTGTACCACTGCCTCGGGACTTGCTTCATATCATATAAGATTTTCTTCAACTTGCACACTAGTTTCTCTTTCCTTTTGACTGAAAAACCCTCTGGTTGTTACATATAAATCTCCTCCTTTAGGTCATCATGGAGGAAAGCAATTTTGACATCTAACTGCTCAAGGTACAACCCCTCTGCTGCAACTATGTTAAGAACTGAGCGAATGGTACTTAGTTTCACAACCGGAAAAAAATGTCTGTGTTGTCAATGACTTGCTTTTGCTGAAAGCCTTTGACCACCATTCTTGCCTTGTATCTCTTGTAACCATCATGTTCCTCTTTCACCCTGTACACCCATTTGTTATAAAGAGCTTTCTTCTCCATGTGCAACTTGGTTAGTTCCCATGTTTTGTTAGAGATAAGAGACTTCATCTCATCTTCCATTGCAAGCTCCCACTTGCTAGCATCTTCAACCAAACATGCTTCATCATAACATTCAGGCTCACCATCATCTGTAAGCAACATATAATCTAAATATTTTCGATTCGGTACATAAGGTCGCGTGGACCTTTTGGGTACAGGCTTAGGAGTTGGAATCCGCGGTGAATTCTTATTTATCTATTCCGCGTCAATGCTCTCTGGATCATCATCCAACTCAATAAACTCAGGCTTACTTTGTATAGGACTAGTTAACTGTGCTGTATCTCTATCCTTGTACATCACCTTCTCGTTGAAAATCACATCTCTACTTCTAATGATTTTCTTATTTTGATTATCCCGGAGTAGATAACCAAACTCATCTCCGCCATACCCAACGAAGATGCATTTTAGTGACTTAGGATCGAACTTTCCCCTAGCATGGTCACTAATATCCGCATATGCAATACAACCAAAAATTGTCAACCATGAAAAATTTACATCTTTGCTACTCTATACCTCTTCTGGTATTCGATGCTCCAAAGGCACCGATGGTCCCCGATCAATTAGGTAGGATGTTTTATTAACTAATTCTGCCCAAAACTATTTGGGTAGACCCGAATGTATGCGCATGCTTTTGGCTTCGATTCATCCGTTCTGCCACCCTATTCTGCTGTGGGGTCCTTTGCACAGTCCTCTCTAATCTGATCTCATTATCAAGGCAGAACTTCTTGAATCAAGTGTCTTCATATTCACCACCATTGTCTGACCTCAACCCCTTGATCTTCAAACCTGTCTCATTCTCCACCATGACCTTCTACTTCTTGAACACATCAAATACCTCAGATTTATGCTTCAAAAAACAAACCCATTTTATGCTTCAAAAAATAAACCCATACCTTCCTCGTATGGTCATCAATGAAAGTCACGAAGTAGGATTTTCTGCCAATGGTGAGACATTGGCTGGCCCCAGACATCTTTGTGAACTAGCTCAAGTTTCTCTTTTCTGAGATCTCTGCCACTCTTCTTGAAACTGACCTTCTTCTGCTTGTCCATCACGCAACTCTCACAGAAGTCAATATCAATTGCCCATATGCCTAGTAGTTTCCCCTTTGAGTGTATAATCTTGAGCCCCCTTTCACTCATGTGACCTAGTCTCTGGTGCCAAATGTTGTGATCTTCTCTATTTTTTGCAACTGCTATAGACTCACAAGCACTAATAGTTGTGTAGAAAGCACTATATTTCTTACCACGTGCAATGGTTATAGCGCCTCTCGAAACTTTCCACGAGTCTCCATTTAAGGTTGTAACACAACCTTCATCTGACAATTGTCCTACCGAAATCAAATTCTTCCTTAAGTCATGGATGTGTCTTACATC